ATCTAAACCACATGAGAAGTCTTGCTTGGGTGCACTATGGGTTATTACAGGGCCCCGTCCCTGCCTGTGCGAAGACATCAATTCCTTGGCCAGTGTTTGGACTGAACCTTCCCCACCAGGGGAGCACGTCCTGCTGTGTCCCTGTCCACTCCATCCCACGGTGACCCCATCCACCCTTTGACAAGACACTTAATCCCGAACCTCATGATAGAGACTGTTCCCACAGCCTATCCCATACTTCGGTGTTTCACTATGTGCTGCCTTATTTGCTGTTTCTTGGATGTTTTTCCTCCCCTACAAGTGAACTTTTTCAAGAGAAACATGCATTAGTGCCACCTGTGTCCTAGGACAGAGTACAGCCCAGAATGGAGCCTGAAAGAAACACTCCACAGATGCTTGGGCACTGACTGGAGGTCAAAGATGCCCCTGGGCACCTCGGAGCCAGACTAGCTCTCCCCGGCCTCGCTGGAGTCACACACTGCGGTCTCGCCTTTCTCCTCCCCCTTTCCTTCCAGTCTCTTTCTGCCACCTTCCCTGGGTGATGCCTCACGCGGACTCCACTATGTCCAATGAAGCACCCTCTCTAGACTCTACTTACAGAAGAACTTGGGAGCGATAACAGTGTTAGTACTTCTCTTCTCCCGGCATTTCCTTCCCTCTCCTTCAAAACTTGTGGTGAATCTGATGTCTTGCCTCATAAAACCTCCCGTCTATTTTATAAAACTCTGCCAGGCCACTTGGGCATCTGAGGGGGTGAGTAGGGACTGAACGACTCCTCCAAGTGATTGTACCTCAGGAATAAAGAGCAGGTCCAGGGGAAAACCAGGACTGAAGGGACTGGCGGTGGGCAAGAGGCCACTCGAAGGGGTGACCTTTAGGAACACATCCCCACTAGTGTATTACTTCGCTGGGGCTGCCGTAACCGGGTACCACAGATTGGCTGGCTTTAGCAACGAACATTTATCTCCTCGGTTCTGGAGGCTAGAAGTCTAAGATGAAGGTGTCGGCGGGGGGGGGGTTCTTCTGAAGGCCTCTCTCCTTGGCTTGTAGATGATCCTCTTCTCCGTGTCTCCTCACCTAGTCCCCCCTCTGTGTCTCCCTGTCTCCTCATCGCCTCTTCTACTAAGGATACCAGTCATATTGTGGATTAGGCCCCACACATATAGACTCATTTTACCTTCACCTCTTTAAAGGTGCTAACCCCAAACACAGCCACATTCTGAGCCACTGGGAGATAGGACTTCAAGTTATGAATTTGGGGGGGGAGGATAATTCAGCCAATAAGTCAGCAATAAGGAGAGGGAGAGAAAGGGGGTGTGCGTGTGACCATAGAGAAACTGAAGCGTACTCGGCACCTGCAGAGGGGAGGAAATCTCACCTGAGTCCCCCATATCCAGCACGCCCTACCTTTCCCGTCTGTCTGTCCATGTTTAGACAGCAGGCTCCGTTTTTGTTCTGAAGCCTGTGCTCAGCTCTGTCCCAGTGATCTGATTCCAAATGCAGAGCACTTATTGTTTTACAACTCGTCTGGCCCTGAACCCCATGTGGCCCAGTGGTGGCTCTTGATGCCTTGCACACCGCTGCACTGGAGGCCTCGTCTTAGGTCACCATCTTTGTCCCTTGCTTAGTTCACACTCACCTCCCGTCGGTTCTTTCTGGGAGCCAAGCCCTGTCCTGCTGTCGGTCAGGGCCTTTGGAATATCTTCCCCTCTGCCCCTTTTACTGCCCACCCCCATCTAAGCTAATATCATTTCACCCTGTAGACCTCAGCTCAAATGTCTTTTCTTCAAGGAAGTTTTTGAGACACCCTCCACCCCACCCACACACAAAGACAATTTACCCTCACATTTAGCACAGGGCCTTCTCCTTCCCTCTCCCCTAGCTCTCTATAACACTTATCACGTTTAATTACCTACTGGCATCGTTCCTGTTATCAATGGGTCTCTCCTTCAAGAGGGACACATTCTCGTAAATTCATTAGCAGAATCTGTATCTAGTTTGTCCATCATTATCTATCCAGTAGCCAGGGCAGTGTCTGGAACCTATCAGTGCTCAATAAATATTCGTTAGACAAAAGGAACAATAAGTGATGTGTAAATTAGTATAAATCAATGGTTGTGTGATCTATTTCTGCTGAATAAACTCACTTTGAGGCAGAGGCTGTGTGAAATCATTACATCATAATACCGAGATAGGTAGACGCATGCACGGATATAGGTCCTGAATGATGGGACCATACACAGAAAGCAGAAATGTAATATCCTATTAGGTCTAATTCTACAGAAATCACTTACATAGACATGTCTCCCATATCTCACTTTGTATATATACATAAAATCTATCTTCTGCAGGTATTTTTTAGTCCATTAAACAGATTATCTGTAGTCACCCCCTCCCTGTGGCTCATTCCACTGCTTGCCTTTGGCTTAACACCAACAGCAATTCTTTACTTGGGGTGAAGAACTGACGGATTCCCTTGGTGACTCCAATCCAACACTTTTTCATTTTCTCCTTCATATGAGACAGGAAACACTAAAATTCTGGGAACAAGATGTGTGTCACACATTGGAAATGTTCGTATCTGCTGATAACACTCCATCTACCTCGGCTAAACACATGAGGAAGCCACATGGTCACAATCTAACGGATCATAGAACATAACTAATAAACTGAAGCAACATTCCACATGTTATCACTTTCAGCTTTGTGCAACATGTGGAAACAGGCTCGTGGGCCGCTTGGTCGTGTCAGAACATCTAAGGGAAGAGGATGCACGTTTGGTATTTATTACGGTCACTCACCTCAGGGAAGTGTCCAAAGGGGTGCATTACCACCTCCACATGTCTGTACCCTACAAGTTTCTTTTTAAAGGCGTATTTTCGGAGATGTTTTTACCTTTCAGATGCTTGGACTGTTTGTGTAGCCCTGGTTGTTTTGAATACTTGGAAATAAAAAGTACTGATGAGAAATTTTAGACTAGGGAAAAAAACCATTCCTTTTATAAGTACTGCAGCATTTGCTGTAACTCAGATAACTGAGAAACTTGGTTGTTTCATCCACCACTCTCTGTTCCACCCCCAAATAAATAGATATTACTTCCTATTTATCTAAGTTATAAGGCTTAAGTTCAGTTGCCCTGCTTGATCATTTTTCTCATGCTAAAGAAGAAATATGGAAATAAATAAGGAAAGTCATATAAGTCAGAAAAATAATACTAACATCATCAAAATTTCACAAAAATTGACCAAAGAAAAGTGAGACTCAATTTTGGGAGTTTAGCCGTTCAAACAAATGAACATTACAGCATTACACAGTCAATTTCTGTTAAATTGAAAAAAGGAAAATGTTAAATTGAATGCTTGAGCCCTCTTGTTAAATTCTTCTAAATCAGTAATTAAACCTTCAATGCATTCCTCACAACAGGTAAGTCAAGGTGTCAACCACTAAGATAATTCTATTCATAGCCAGAAGCTATGCTTTCTCTAGTCTAATTAACAAGGAAACAAAATCTCCCCAAAGAAGCAAATCTACTCCCTAACTAAGCTAAACACACTGGGGTCAGGTGTCTCAGAAATGATCAACTTGATCACTGATTCTACAGTTAAAATATTAGTGAGTCCGTATCCACCAATCAAGGTAACGGTAAACTCCATTAAATAAAGGAAGTCTAAGAAAAGTGCTATAAACAAATGAATTTTACAACATGTGGGCTTCAAATATGGAAAGAAGACCTCCATAAAGCACAGTCATCATTATCTTAAAAAAAAAAGGGGGGGGGGAGTAATTAAATATGAAGCAAAAGAAATCTGATTAGCCTAGGGATGAAACTGTTTTCCTGGTAACTAAAATGCTTTGCATACTTGACATCTAGTGATGTAAATACTTGACATCATTTTAAAAGATGACTTGAGAAGGAAGGGAATAGTTCTGAGGCTGATCCTCTGCTACAGCTGTCTGATAGTCCTATCTGTGAATTTATACTACCTAATGCTGTCCCAATCGGTTGTTCCGACATTAAATACAAGAAGCCAGTTTTGTGTGTGTACGGCAAATACTTGAAAAAACATATTCTCACCCACATAACTGTTCTTTAAAAATATATTTTATCAGTTTGGCCAATTATCATCAAAATTGTTTCTTCCAACACAAATGGAATTATTTTAACGATCTGACGTCCATAATTACTTTTATTTTTACAAAGATGACAAAAGCATGTCTTATTGGTGTGCCATCACCCACAACATAAATTCGGGTTTATTCAAAATACCTTACCTTGTAGAAATTTAAGTTGCGGTAACTGTCTAAATATTTAACTTCACTTAAAATTATTTCAGCCCAAACCCAAAACCCAAAAAAAATCATTTTAATGGAATGTTTCATTTCACTGCCTGTAAAACCCAATATAAAGAGAGATTCTCTTGCTGTTTTAGCATAGTCCTAAATGACATTTTGTTGCTATAGCAACGAAACTGCTACCTGTGGCCATGATTTGTTAAAAATTCCTCCAACCAGTGAATTCTGAGCTGTGCATTCATAAAACCAATAGAATGGCTCTAAGCAACATAAAAATTAAGGCCTGACTTCCTATTATGATTTACCCACAGATATTTATAACATGTATACACAAATGTACACACACATACATAATTATGGCTCTCCCAAATCCATCAACAAGGTAAAACCATTACAAATTTCCATTTTAAAGTGGGCACAAAAAAAAGGCTGTGTCTGATTTCTTTGAATTGCTACTTGTTTCCGAAAATTTATCTTAAAAGATAACAGAGACTATCTGGAGAAAATTTAAAAACAAGACAATTTATCACATATATCCAATCTCATTCCAAAAGGGGAAAAAATATCCTGAAGCTTAATTTCCTATCTGTTACAGTAAGTGTGGCTTCTTTAGCAATAAGCTGATTTAGAAAACATCACATTAAAGAAGAAAGAAAACATGGTCATTGCCACCATAATTAAGAAAACTGCTTCTGCAGGCTACTCACCCTCACTGGGGGGCTCCAGGCTTGCACCCGTGGCTGCTGTCCACCCTGGGAGCTCTGCAGATCTTTTGAGCTACAGTTAGCCACAGAGCTGTTCTGAACTCTCAATGCATTTGTGCAGTTCGTCCCACTGCCCCCACCAGGGCCAGGCTTCCAAGGCCTCTGCTTGATACCATCCAGAAGTCTGACCAGCAGGATGTTACTTGGAAGCTCCTCAACACCCGAGCCAACAAGAGTCCTGCACTCGGGACATCTGAGTTCATTTCGGGAACCTACGATCCCCAGCAAACATCGTTTGCAAAATGTGTGCTGGCAAGGCAAAACCTTGGCCGAAGCATCAAGCCGCTCTAGACACACAGGACACTCCAGCAGATCCAACAAGGCAGATTCATCCATCTTTATCTAGTTTACTGAGGAAAAGCTTCAGAAATATTCATAGTTGTATGAAGCCCTTCAAGTGATTCATGTAACATCCATTTCAGACTGTGCTCTGGAGTAACGGGGGAGAAGGAAAAAAGACAAAAAATTACTATTGTTATCAGGAAAAAAGGTTCACAGAGGAGCCAAGAACCAAAAAGTACACAAAAGTGCTTCCTCTGAATAGTGTAGCTTTGCTTTGGAATGTGGTTCCTGAAGTCCAAAGTCAACAATTAAAAACAAAACAGGATTTTTAAAACAATTCAAAATTAATCCCTGGCGATATTTAGGAGTTCACTGTGCAGAAACAGCTATGAAGTCCTACATGGGATTCCTGCAATAAATAGGATTTATGAAATGCAATAAAGACCATAATTTCTTCAGCTCTCAAAGCGATATTAGCTGCCTTCCTAAAGTCCTCAATTCATATGAGAAGCTGAACAGGAGCGACGGAAAGTTTTCTCCACCTGAAATTACTTTTAAATCCAACAAAATTCCCCATTTTTAAAGATACTTTAGTGTTCAAGAAAAACCATGCCTCATGTGATCACTTGTGGTAAATGATCCCAATATTAAATACATATGTTTCTTCACTGGCCTTAAAAATAGAACAGTTTAATCTTGCCCAACCAAAAGGAGCTGAAGGTTGTGGCGATTCTAAAGGACACAACTAAAAATCCCCTTGAAAGCCGCTGAAATATAAAAGCAGCCTGCGGGGTAGCGGTGGACAAACTCTGAAACGGATTGCTGGACGGCCCGTCCTAATCCCATTCAGAAAATCTGGCAGAATTATCTCCGAAAGAATCTGACAATGGAATGCTGGACTGAACTGTGGGCATAACAGGAAAATGGGGCCATTCAGGAAAAAGCCTGGAAACCAGGGACTGCGCGGCTCTGCCACCAGCAGCAGCAGAAATGTAACCGTGAATGCCTAGGGGAGGGGGTGGGAAGGTTTTGCTGGGAGCGTTAACAGCTGTTCTTGACAGAGTCGGGGCGCGGGCGCCCTGGGCTGCACCCCTCTCCCACGCCGCCGGCACAGGTACTCGGGAGCCGCAGGGAGGCGCGGCGGCCGCGCGCCGCAGACACACCCCGGGGCCAGGTGTCGCCGCACCGGCAGGGGAGGGTCCCGAGCTGAGGCTGCGGCCCGGCCGGTGCCCGACTGGGGTGCTCATTCAACAGCCTCATCTCTGCCTCCCTTTGGGTCAGGCCAGGCACCAACCCCTCCAGCGGGAAGTTTTCAAGGACTTAAAAATATATTCGCAGCCTTAAGTTGCGAAAGTCAACCCCACGAAGTGCCACCAGGAAACGGCGACCACCCCGCAGAGAGGAGGCGGGAGTCCCCGGAGAGGCGCAGCCAGCGGGGCGCGGGGGGAGCTGGGCTGCGCCGGAGACCGCGGCACGGAGCGCGGGCAGCTTCCTGCCGGCAGCGGGCGCGAGGCCGCGGGCTCCGGGCCCACGGGGACCCCGGGCTGGGGGACGGAGAGCCGGAGCGGTGCGGAGGGAAGGAGAGGGGGACGCCCCGACCACCGCCTTCTCTGCCGCGGGGCTGTGCCCACGCGGGCCCCCGCGCCCTACCTCACCCTCGGCTCCTCCTCTTTGTTCGCGGCCCCGCAGCGGTGGCGGCGGCCGATGCGGATGCGGCCCCGCGGCGCTCGCGGCTCCCAGCGTCTCCGACACGGCAGCGGCAGCACCGGAGACTCCTCTCCGCCGCCCCCCTCACGCGCGCACACACACGCCGCCGCCGCCGCCGCCGCCGCCGCCTCCCACTTTCCCAGCCAAGGAGGGCGGAGGAAGCGGAGGAGGAGGAGGAGGGGGAGGCCGAGCCGCAGCCGGCGCCCGGGGCGCGAGGGGCCGCCCTGCACCACAGCGCCTCCCCCCGAGCGCCCGCCGCGCCTCCTCCGGCGCTGGGCTACCTGCGCGCAGCCCCGCGCCCCGCGCCCCGCGCCGCCGCCAGAGCCCCTGGCCGGGAAGCGGGGACCCCAGGGGCCGGCGAGGAGGCACACTTGGGGACACGCGCCTGCAAAATGAAGCCACCGGAGGGAGAGCGTCGGGAGTGGCGGCGGAGTAAAGGAGGAAGCGGCCACGGGGCAGGGGCCGGCCGTGTCCTCCGCCCGCTCGGCGGCGCGGGAAGGGCTGGTCCCAGGAAAGGGCGGGAGCTGATCCGACTCTGCCTTGCTTCTGCCCGCCCAGCCCTGGGGAGACACTGGGTTGAGTAAGAGCCAAATGCTGTGACTCCTCAGGTCCTAGGGAGGCATGTTGGATCAGCTGGGGGGGACATTCCCAGGGCAGTTGTCCACCCGCCGATTTCTGGGGCCACCGCCTCCCAGCATTGCTCCCCAATCTGCCCGCATGCAGGCACCACCCTGCCGCCCCCGGGACACACACCCGAGCAAGCAGGGAGGATTACTGATCCAGAAGCTCAAAATGGGAAGGGAGAGAGGCTGGGAAAACAGTAGTGTGGGTTTAACACCCTGTTGGGAGGCCCTGTTCTACCTGCCCTAAATGGGGAAAATTCAAAGTCTGACCTCAGGTGAGCTGGCACACAAAGCTAATTGAGAGGCGCCTCTTTTATCTGAGCCTGGGAGGCAGCCATAACCATCACTGTAATCTTTGTTTTGGTTGCCCCAGGCACACACCTGTAAACTGTGAAATGTAGTTTTGAAAAACAAGTTGTCCACAGGTTTAAGGTTGCTTTTCAGACTCAATGCAGAGGGAAAACAAGTTAAAATGTTCGCTGATCTCAAAGTTGTCATTATTCTTTTTGCATTTACCATCAACTTACAAAAAGTTATCCAGCTACTTTTCCTAGCTGTGCAGAAACTAGGCAAAAAATAAGGGAAAGGGTGACAGATGTTATGCAAGGAAGCCCTACCTGGCCACCAACCAGGCTGACTTTCTTAAAGGGAGTCAGATTATTCTCTACTCTCCAGCCAGGGCCACAGCTAAACCATTCAAGACAAATGAGAAACACCTAATTAAGAAAAAATTATAACACCCCACCGGTGTGGCTCAGTGGATTGAGCATCAATCCATGGATGGAGAGGTCCCCGTTCCATTCCCAGTCACGGCACATGCCTGGGTTGCGGGCTCGATCCCCAGTGGGTGGCATGCAGGAGGCAGCCAATCCATGTTTCTATCTCTCACTCCCTTCCCCTCTCTCTCTCTAACAAATAAATAAAATTAAATTTAAAAAAATTATAACAGCTAACAGTTATCAATCATTTGCTGAATGCCAGTCACTGTGCTAAACATTTCACATGTATTAATTCAATCTTCATGCCACTCTGTATGTCATTCCTCCTTAGCTTTGTTCTAAACAGATTAATATGCTGGGAGTCATACTGTACAAATTCCAGAAATAATAGCCCACTTCCCCCTCCATTAGAAGTGAGCAAATACACATGCGTTTTTGCTGAGAAAGACAAGGGAAGAAATTAACAGAATAGAGAATTTCTAGTCCGAGAGACTATAAACAAGGCACTCTGAAACTGACTACTTAGCCCATATATTTGTGCTTCTGGAACTGTGCAGATGAAGGTGAAGCAGTAAACAGATAAATACTATTATATGCAGTTTACAGTTATTAAGATCGAATCTCCGGTAGGTTCACCTCATCCCCAGGTCACACAAGAAGTAATTTTAAACCAAGACTCAGATTCCTGTCTCTGGATTCCAAGTCCAGTTTTCTTTCTACCATTCCCAGGACCTCTCTTTTGCACATCACCTCAGACAAAACTAGGGAGAGATCATACTGTTAATCATGTAATTACTCTGGAGAGCAAGGGACAGTTTTTGTTTTGTTCTTATTTTGTTTTGTTTTCTGTTGGTTTGTATTTAGACAGAACATCAGCACAAGGCCATAGGTGATATGGCGCAGCTCTTGAAACTCCAGGCAGGAAAATCGGTAGTGACACCCATTATCAAAGAACTGAAGACAGTGGTGTGTCCAAGATTACAGGGATCGAAGAGGCTTGCACACACATCCATGAATATTATCTGGGGGTATGGCTGCAGTTTTTTTGTTGTTTTTTTTTAACATCCTTGGTGCTAGTTCATGCTATTTTTAGAACACAACTCATGCATTAGCCTTAATTACTCCAGCTGTAAAATGAAATTTTAGGCAAATTACTTTAGCCTTTGAGCCATCTTTCCTCTGTCAAATGGTAAAAAATAATAATAATAATAATACCTTTAGTAGAGTGTTGTTGGAGGATTCAATGAGACAGTGTGCTGGTTCTCTATAATCTGTACATCTCTATTAGAGAATATACCACCATTAGGATTATTTGCCAAGAATTACCCCTTTTCTCTAGCGTCTTAAAAAAATTGAGACAACACTAATAATTGCAAAGTCCTGTCAAAAGAATACTGTAGGTGAAGGAACACTTATAGAATGAAGAAGTATATTTATCTTGCCATTTCTGAGAATTGAACATGAAGGAAAGAATGTAAGCGTGATATACCGATGGCCCCTGTGACTTTGAGTTGATACATAAAAAATATAAACACACCCTATAAACAATAATGATAGCTTGGATTTACAGTTTTTATTCTCCCAAGACTTCAAAGTACTTTCATATATGTTATCTCATTTATCTTCCCAGCATCCCTCTGAACAGCAAAGACAGATATAATCATCCCCATGTTGCAGATGGGAAAAAATTGGGTGTAGAGAAGTTATTGCTCTTACTGATGACATTAAGACACAGATCAGGCTTTTAAATTCCCAGTCCAAAACGCTCATTGGTAAGCTTTGGTATTTATACATGCATATTCACTTATGTGTCTGACCCCCACTTTCTTTCAAAACTAATTCCTCTTATAGTTGCCATGATAGTGGTAAATAGCACTATTTACCCAGTTGTTTAAACTAGAAACCTAGGGTCACCTTTGATTTCTCCTTTTCCTCTTCTCCATCCCTCTCCATCAACAAGTCTGCCAGCTACCCCCCAAATATATTTCAATCTCTACCCACTTCCCTTGTCTCCATTACACCTCTACCTAAGCCATCCTCAGCCTTTGCCTCTGGCCCTTCTAACCAGCTTCTCTGCTTCCATTTCTATCTTCACAACCTGGCCCTGAATATAGTGACATTCGTCATGAATTACAGAAAAATGCATAACATATTATGTTACTTCCTTGCTCAAAACTCATCAATTTCTTCCCATCACACTTGGAATCAAAAGGCTTCCACATCTTACAAGACCTTATGTCACCCAAACCCTGCCCCGTTATGCTTTACACAGCACTTTATCTTTATAATACTCTTTCACTGTCTAATTTTTGATTCTTTGTTTATTGTCTATGTTCCTTACCTTATCCTGAATAGAAGGTCCCTGAAGGCATGAACTTGGTCTATCTTCTTCACCACAGTATCTTTGACAGTCAATATATAGTGGGTACCAGAGAATAATTCTCAAATATGGAATTAATCAAATATAGAATTATATTTATTGCATCCTAAAGCTACATATATGCTTAGTATTTCACTGTCCTGCACACAGGAAATCAGGCAAAGTTCTTATAATCTATCAATCAATACATTTTTAAATAGAAGATGATAATACATGATTCTTCCTCTTACATTTCACAGTTAAGCTGGAGAAACAGCTAAATGCCATCTGTATAACAGAATATAAAGGTAATGCCAGTTTGTCTTCATTATAGGTCTAGTTAATGCTGTCACCATGTAGTTTGTTCCCAAGCAAGCAAGCAAGCAAGCAAATGCAGTTATTTTTCAATTATTTTTTACTTATTTTTCTTTATTGATTTTAGAGAGAAAGGAAGAGAGAGGGAGAGAGAGATAGAAACATCAATGAGAGAGAAAATCAACTGGCTGCCTCCTGCATGTCCCCCACTGGGGATCAGGCCCCCAACCTGGGCATGTGCCCTGACCAGGAGTTAAACCAGTAACCTCTTGGTGCATGGGCCAACACTCAACCACTGAGCCACACCAGCTGGGCTATTTTTCAATTTTCCTGCTCACTCTCCTACCTCCCATCCATATAGATAGATGATCCAGAGACCATTAGGCATGCTTTCTTTCTTTTTTTTTTTTTTTTTCCTTTTTTATTGATTTTAGAAAGAGAAGAAGGAAGAGGGAGAGAGAGATAGAAACATTGATGAGAGAGAACATCAATTGGCTGCCTCCTGCATGCCCCCGACTAGGGATCAGGCCCACAACCTGGGCATGTGCCCTGACCGGGAATCGGGCTGGTGACCTCTTGATGCATGGGTTGACGCTCAACCATTGAGCCACACTGGCCAGGCAGGGTGCTTCTTAAATCTGTCCCTTCCTCCCAATCCTTATTTCAGGCCTCTTCATCTCCTATTTGGACAATTCTACTTGCCCTGCTTCCAGTCTCCCTAGGGTACTTGATTCTGGAGAGAACTTTGGAGCCAAAGGCTTCTCCATCTACTAACTGGGTGACCTTCAGGCATGTTTCTAGTCTTCTGTACCTGAGTTTCCCCTGTTAAAAAGGCAGAATACTACTCCCTACCTCAGGGTTTTTATGGCAATTTTACATAAGTTAATAAAAACAGAATGTTTGGAACCATGCCCAACACATGGCAAGTGCTTAATAAATGATAGTTAACATTGTTCTTTTTATT